TGGGATTTTCTGTTGGCTTCTTATGATATTTCCCTTTCTTCACCCCTCTCTCATGGTCTGGCATTTCTCAGCTCTGCATTCCAGTTGCATAAGTGTGTGTGTCTGTGTGTGTGCGTGCGATCATTTTGAATTCCTCATGTAGTCTTCTGAAGCTGAGTGTAATGTTCATACTATATTCCCTGACTTCTTGCAGATACCCACTGATTTACATTTGTGTAAGACTTTGCTTCTGGGTTTTACACAAACTCTGTGTGCGTGTGCGTCCATTCATTTCTTTAATTTGCTTAATGTGCTTCTTTTATATGCTTGATGTGTAAGTTTTGCATCCATGCTTGACTCTTCCTTACTTTAGTGCTTAAAAAGACAATTAAAAGCACATGAATACCATATATATATATATATATATATATATATATATATATATATATATATATTATCACAGTAGTGAGCTCATTTGTGTGTGTTCATTTTTTTGTTGTATTTCAAAACATGTCTGTGATTATGTTTCCATTTGTTGTGAACTGTGGCTTTAGATATTAGTTTTTGTTTTTTTTAATTAAGTGTCAAAGTGAAGGAGCGGGCAGACCAAACAAACCAAAGAACTGTAATAAAAGAAGGTCCTACATGGCAAGAAATCTATAAAACAAACATTAATATACTGAAAAATGAAGACAGGTAGACAAATAGGGCATGACCCAAGGCTAAACATAAAAAGTAGCACTGAAAAGAGGAAACAAGAAGTCCTTGCATCGATACTGATGATCAACCAAACGGACTTGTTGGCAAATTTCATTAAGAGGAATGTTTATATTAAAGCGCTTGTGTTTGCGAGTGCCTTATTGTGTTTTAAGCTCTTTTGAAAACAGAAATCACATAAAGTTGTTTTATGCATGAAATATAACAAATAAATGACTTGGTTTTGTGTACATATGCCTGGGGCACACATAGTTTATGGAAGAACTTTGTCCTAAATCATTACATAAGTAAGTTGTTACTTTAAGATTGCAACCACCAGTCGTCCTATCTTTTTATTTTATCCCTGCTTAATATGTTGCAGCTTGTATTCACTGTGTGAGTGGATCAGTGTTCCAGTGTGTAGAGGAAGATGTGTGGTCAGAGATGGAGGGTTAAACCAGAAAAAGCACATCAGGGTGACAAAAGAGCCGTTTGATCCATTTCTCTGCCTCTTCGTCTGCAGGCAAGCTCTAGAAATGTCAGCTATCAACCTCTTTGTAAGGGAGAGCTGTTGTATGAGTCAGCAAGCTAACCCACACTCACTCTGTCAAACGACAAAGGCAGAAATTATTAGGATAAAACAGTTATTAATATTTAATTTCTGTCAGTTTAGGAGTAAGCAAACTGGATGACATGCATTTGAACCTACATTTCTATGCCGACGACACAGTTGTTTACCATCGAGCTAACACAGTTGCTATGGTTTTCCAGCTTTCACAGTCTGAATTCGACATGATCCAGTCAAATTTTTTTCATCTCAAACTGGTGCTAAATGCTGACAAAACCAAAGGGATGTTGTTTTCAAACAGGAAGTTGGTACCAGCAGTCCTTCCTTCTATCTTATCTACAAATGGTGTTCCTAATGAGTTTGTCGATTCTTATAAATACTTGGGAATCTTGGTTGATGCACATTTTTTAAGCCTCATGTTGAAAACTTGATAAAGAAATTGAAATTAAAGTTGGGTTTCTTTTTCAGAGATAGATCTTGTCTAACTCTGAATGCTAGGAAGCACCTTGCAGATGTTGGATGCTGTTTATCACAGTGCGCTAAGATACGTAACTGGCTGTGACTATTGTACCCACCATTGCACCCTGTATTCACTGGTTAACTGGTCATCATTAACTTCACACAGACTCTCTCACTGGTACCATATTTTTCGTCCTATAAGTCGAGTTTTTTTTTCATCATTTACATGCCCTGCGACTTACAGGATGAAGCGACGTATTTATAGATTTTTCCCATATTTATGAACCAATTTTTGGCTGAGATATGACCGATTTCATTCATTCAGACTGAAAAAAATTGAACACTACCATTTTCAACCGCTAGATGGCAGTCAAGCAGTATGGCATGCCGTTGTATCATGTAATGTGTAAAATGTATATTAATGACAAATTCAAAAAGTTAAAGACAAAAACAACTGGACTTTATTATACTTTACTTTATACCTTATTGTTTTTGTCTTGAACTTTTTTTGAATTTACCATGTCCTGGATGACTGAGAATCTTCACCAGCTATTAATGACACAATCAGCTTGCCATAGAATTTGACCATGTTCTGCTCGCTGCTTGGAGCAAGTCAAACCAGCTTCATTTCGCTGCACCGCCCCGGCAAATTGCAGCTAATTTGACCATTAAAGTGCATTTATTAAGTAAAAGTTCAACTGAGACACCTTTGCTATAATTTTGAGCAAACAAATAATTGTTTTAGGTGCTTATCTTGTTAAATTTCAAAGAAATGCGCAGTGTTCCTCCTCCTTTTTTCCTCCCTGTCTGCGCGTTCCCGGGAGCACCGAGGCATCGAATACTTTTGATGAAATACAGCTGATTTGACCATTGAAGTCCTTTTATTAAGCAAACGTTAGACTGAGACACACCTTTAGTATAAAGTCAAGCAAACAAATATATGTTTTTAGGTGTTTATCTTGTTAAGTTTCGAAGAAACGCACAGCGATTCGTCCCTCTCGCGTTTGTACTTCAACGTATCGGCTTTTGAAATGCAGCTGATTTGACTGTCAAAGTGCATTTATTAAGCAAAAGTTAGACTGAGACCACCTTTACTATAAGTTCAAGCAAACATATAATTGTTTTTAAGTATTAATCTTGTAAAATTCTTGTTAAAGTCCTCCCGTACACGCTCCTGCGGCCGCCATTTGGCAGCCAGTCGATTTTTGGCACAACACAGGTCCACATTTCTGGGTTGTCAGTGGTGACGCTTAACAAACGCGACGTGTCAGTAATGACGCATAATAGATGCAACGTATACAGCAAAACGACATATTTATGGATTTTTTCATTTTATTAGACATATTTGGACTGATGCGACTTGTAGGGTGGAGCGACGTGTACGGCGGAAAATACAGTACATTTTCATCTTTAAATCACTTCTTGGTCTGTTGCCTTCATATATCTCCTCCTACATGTCATGTTGTCGGTGCAGCTACAGCGTGCACTCTCAAGACATCATTACCTGCAGCGTCCTGTCAGTGTGGACTGAACTAGGCAAAAGGGCCTTTTCTTACTCTGCTGCTATAACCTGGAACACGTTGCAAAAAGATCTGAAACTCTCGACTTTGACCTCCCTAAGGGATTTTAAACAGCTGTTAAGTTCAATAGAAAAATCAATGCAGACATGTGCCTGTTTTTAGTCTTTTACCCTGTTTCATAATGTAGCTTGTTTTTATTTTGTTTTATATCACTACATTCACTTATTACTTACTTATTTACATGTACTTTTCATTTTATATGCTTTTTATATTTTATATTTTTTGTTTAAAACAGGTCTTTTGAAAGTGAGTCCTCATGACTCAATGCGACTAACCTGTATAAATAAAGGTTGAATGGAAAAAAAAAAAAAAGAGAGGAAATTAAAATGTTGTCATGCAGCATGAAGGAGAGGTCTTTTTATTTTTCTGTTTATACAATCATGTAGTGATTGTGATCCCTAGCTGCGTCTTTTTGCCTCGTGTCTTCTGTCGTATGTAGGGATGGTTTTTCTTTGCATCTGCTCTCATCCATCTCCTCAGTGCTGGTTAACTGTAGCTGCAGGGGAGCGATGACATCTCTGCCGTTCCTTAAACTCTTGCCACTGTTTTCCTATTGAGTTTTCTCTCTTCTTTATCTCTTGTTTATTTTTGCTCTCATTCATGCGCTTCTCTCTTATCTCTGTTTTATTTTATTTGCTGAAACGTTCTGTCGTGATGTTATGACCTGACTCCTGGTCTGGTTACTTGAGAAGCATTTTAAGAGTCACTGTTCCGTCTTACTACTCTGTATTCATCTGACTCAGAACGTCGTGCCACATTTACCTGTTGGCACACATGTGTAACACATCTGCAGAGATGATACATTGGTTATCTCAGTTATCTGACATATTTAAGATTAGTCTTAGGTTAATAAAAGGTCAACAATACAATTGTTCAGGATGAGAAGAACGGATTTATTTATATATATATATATTTTTTTTTTTCAAATATTTGAATATATATATATATATTCAAATATTTGAATAAACACATACTTTATTGTTCATATTTAGCTTAGAGCTGTGCTGCAACATAATAGAGTGGAAAAGAAGCTGCTCTGTGTCTTGATTAAATTATTTATTATAGGGTTTAAAAATATACTGTAACTCTTATCTTATGACTCCGTAACAGCAGAATTTATTTGTGAATATTCTGTCAATATATTCCCCAGAATATTTTATTTGTGAGATCCAGTTTTGAATTTTACTTTTTATGGGTGCATTTTTACAGATAGTTTTAATAATTGATGCCAACCACAAATGTGTGTCTTTTTGAAACACACTATTTCCTGCAGAGTCCTTATGACCATAAGATTATTGTTCTTTTCCTCTGCAGCTCACCTCAGCTCAACCTTATGATCCACAAGAGGTCTCAGGCCACTGGGGAGATTTAATCCCTGCAGTATGTTCTGGGATCAGGCCAGAACCCCAGATAAAAGATAGAAAAATAATATTCTTGGCACGGATACATATTACAGCCTTGCAGTATTTGTCCATTTATTGGTTTTAGGGAAAATGATCAAAATCAGTTACACAAAAGATCTAAAAATGGTTGTGTTGTGCAAAATGTGCATCTCATTGTCTTTTGTTTTTATTGGGTCTGTAGTTCTGCTTGTGTTACAAAATACTTTTCAGACCTCTAAAAATGTCATTTTGTCTTGTTGCACAATTTTTAATCTCTTCAGTAACATCTCCACATCCACATGTTTGCAATTAACTGCTGCTCTCTGTCTCCGACAGCATCTTCAGTGCACGATCCAGGCTTTGCAAGATGAGCTCAGAATCCAACGCGATCTCAACCAGCTCTTCCAGTCCGATTACTCGGAGTCCGGTCGCCTCGGAAACCAATCCATTCCTCCCCAGGAGATGACAGAGGAGAACTTCCTGCGTCTCCACAGCGAGTATGAGCGTCAGGCCAAAGAACTCTTCCTCCTGAGAAAGACCGTGGAAGAGATGGAGCTGAGGATAGACACGCAGAAGCACACGTTAACAGCCAGGTAGAGATCAACAGCAGCACGAGGATTGTATAACACGTCAACCTCTGGGTGACCCGTGTTCTGTTCTTGTCTCACAGGGATGAGTCAATAAAGAAGCTGCTGGAGATGCTGCAGAGTAAAGGCCTGTCGTCACGGGCAACAGAGGAGGACCACGAAAGAACGAGGCGACTAGCTGACGCAGAGATGACCATCCACCAACTGGAAGGTCTGCTGGAGCAAAAAGATAAAGAGATGTTTCAGCTCAGAGAGGTACGTGTGAGCGTCCAAGAAGAAGCAAGTGTAGTCAAGCATTCTCATGCAGAGGTGCAGGTGTGTGTAGCCAGATGTGAAATCTAAGCCCCTCGGCTGCTTCTGCTTTTGGCACAAACTTCAACATTCACACAGATGAGGATAAACAGGAATTTCCTGTCGTTTTTTGACCTTTTTCATCCTTTTTATTTTATTTTTTTAAATCTCTTCCTTGATCTAGTGTTATTAACCTCCCTGCTGCCCTCGGGTCAAATTGAACCACAAGGCCTCAGTAGGATTAAGCTGTTGTTTTTATACAATATCGCCCCCTGGTGGTCAAATGGCTTCAACGAACAGTACACAACAAGCTCCTGAAACAATGTAATACAGCATACCTTGATGCAATAAATATAAACACATACATCTGATGTTTACTTTTAATACTGAAATTTCAAGTTTAACAGATGAATTCAATTTATAAAAATAAAAAAAAACTAAAACATGGTCATCACATTTGTTACTTTATTGTGATTTATTTAAAAAAATACTTTTAGAAACTGTTTAATTTGGAGTTATAGTCAAATACAAAATAATTGACCCATACATTTTTGTATTGTATTAATCTGCACAAATTTCTTGTGATTTAAGACATTTTTCTACAGACTATGTTCACGACATAATTTTAGTTTTTTTTTATATTTGGTAATTTCCCACCATGGTGCATGTGAAGATTTTATATTAATTATTTAAACTAGGCCTGTCGCACTAAATAACTCAATTAATCGCATGATAAATGAAAATTATCTACCTCATTTTCATTTATCAGCTTTATCGTTTCTTCGTGTCTCTCCTTCTACTGAAGACACTGGATGACAAAAAGCTCAACTCCGGTGCTCTTCACTGACCCCTCCCTTTCTATTTTATCTTTAAAATCAATTTTAACCATCCAAAATCATGTTTTTGGATCATTAAAAGTAGCTAAGCTGAGAAGCTAAGCTACGAGCTAAGCTAACAGGCCGACGTTGGGGGGAAAAATCCTCCGTCTTGTCGAAGCTTCAAAATTCACAGTTGCAACCCGTGCCTTTGTGTAAAAAGTTGTTTTTCTCTGCAAAAAGAAGCTGAGGACTTGTTTACTGATTTTTTTTAAATTAAAAGCTTTGTGTGAAAAATGCTTTGCTAAAGAGCTCAAACCACACCGAACATCCACCAGTTTGAGAATAGAAAAAGGAAAGAGAGACAGCCCATGTCAGTCAAAAGGCCTCCCTCCCATTTTTCTTAGAGACACGCTGCTCGCTCCCTCACTATCCATCCTTTGGTTCAAACAGTCAGACTGCCATCCGATGGTCAAAAAAAGGTTCTATACTCGAAACAAATTAACCAACATGTCCTCTTAAATGTGACAATAATTACTAATTATTGTCAAATTTCAAACAATTTTATTGTTTATCGCGATAATTTCTGAGACAATTAATCGCCCAGCAAAATTTGTTATTGTGACAGACCTAATTTAGACAAATATTTGCTCTGACTGACCAACCCGCAGCTTCTGCTGAAAATTAGGAAGACTTATCGATAGTTTGTCACAAGGGATAGTTCTAGATGTTTTCAGTAGTGAATAAATGTACAAGCTTAACTTATTTGGGTATAAAAGCTGGCGTTTCCTGTCTTACTTTAACAATGACTGCTTACATTGCAGTTTTCTTATAATCTTATCCATAATTTAGAAAATATGAAGTTTTTTGGAGGTAATTTCTGTTTATTTGAGCAGTTCTGTCTGCTCCTCCAGCAGAGTCACCCTACTTTACTTTACAAATGAGGGTTTTTTTTAATGCTTCCTGGCTTTTTACATTAGCTGTCTTTGTCAGCCTGTAAGCGTCCAAAGAAAAGCAGTGATGCATACACTGCTATGTCCTCTTATCTGCTTTCATTCTGTCCCTTCCTTACACTCCTCCTCTTCATCCTTTCCTTTCTTTTTGTGCTTTCACGCCGACCACAGCCTTCCTTCTTCCTTGTCGTCCTGCGTCCTCAGACTTCATTTGGCTCTGGAGCTGTGGTGTGGTAGCAGCTATCAGACATAGTATTTGTTGCGTACTGGTTGGTGAACTAGGACTGCAACATTTTTTGGATTAATTTTTTTTAGTTCTTGTGAGAATTTAGAGATAAAGATTTGGTTTATGATTTGTTTCAGTTGGTGGCTAAAACTGTCGACCTTGACGTTGATTTTTTTTTTAGAGTCAGATATAAAAAAACATTTTCTCTTTTTAAATTGAATCCGTTGATTCATTTTGTACTTTAAGTCGTTTTGTTTATTGAAGCTCGTCGACTTTAAAGCTCGTGTGCTCATTCAGTGAGTTAGCATCACTTCAGGCTGTCGGCCTCGATCATTTGACTCGTCCTTCTCTGTTGGAACGATGTGGGACGGCCGGAATGATCCAAGGAGGCTCAAATCCAGCTCTTCTACCAGAGGGAAACATGTCATCCCTGCCTCCCCCTCCTTCCCTGTTTCTCCTTCCACCTCTATCAACCCTTCTTTCCATGTATCTCCCCCTTTCTTGCCCTCTCTTTCCTTTTCATCATCACACCATCCTTCACTCCCTTCCTCTCCCTCCTTCCCTGCTCCTTCTCCCCCTCCCAGACGCCACTCGCTCTATCCCGTCGTCCCCCACTCATCTTGTCCTCCCCACTCTCCGTATGTTGGAACTTCTTCTGTCCAACACTCTGCATCCTTCTCTGCCCCCGCGCCAAGGCCTACACCGACCGTCCAACCCTCCTGCCACCCCCCTCTCACCTCCTCTCCTAGTCCCCGACCGTCTCCTCCTCTGATTTATCCCTCCCGGCACCCCACTGTGTCTTCCGCTCCATCACCTGCTGACCATCGTGGTTTGTGTGTCTCTCAGGAGCTGCACAGGAGGTACGAAGCAGCTCCGGAGTCGACAAAGACCAAGGCTCTGCAGACCGTCATCGAAATGAAGGTAAACATGAGCTGTGGCAAAATCTCATAATATTGTCAGAGCTTTCATTTAACATTTCTAAATATATCTGCACATCTTACTCAGCAAATGGTCTTTTGGTTAATTTGTTTAATGTAAAATAAGCAAATATAGTCACGTTATTTAAACCCCGTCTTGTGACATTTGCTGTTAAATGCCAGTACTTGTGTTGGTGTTTTGGTACCTCATGGTATATGTATAATAAGCTACATAACTTTGGCTTAAAGGACACATATGGAGTCCAGATGATTGGAACATTTTAAAATTATTTTTTAATAAATGCAATCATCTGAGACAGAACAGGGAGTTAGGAGTACCGGCCAAATAAACAAAAGGGAGCAGCCTCAAACCAGCTATTCGGAACGAACCCATAAAACCCAGAAAACTGGACTGCTGGTAACTCCCAAACCCAGCTAAGAGATAAAATTGGATTGTGAGGGAAAGTTGTTCCATGCATGTAGGATCATTCCTGCAGAGGCTTATTAGTGACATTTATGCGACTCGCCTGTTTTTGCGTTCCTCCTGCCAGGACGCAAAGATCAGCTCGATGGAGCGCGGCATGAGAGAGCTCGAAGAGGAGGTGATGATGCTCAAGTCGAATGGAGCTCTGAGCAATGAAGAGAGGGAGGAGGAGATCAAACAGATGGAGGTCTACAAATCCCACTCCAAGTTTATGAAGAACAAGGTGATTCACCACACGAGCGTCCAACTTATACATGTTAAGGCTCTGTGCTTCAACACTTTGAGTATAAATTGAAACTAATGGAGGTTAAAGTCAGTATTTCATCACGATTCTCCGCAAGAAAAACACTCCAGTCAGCATCACCAACTGAGAGATTTGGTTGCAGATTTGAATAAAGCTCTAAAACGTGACCTGCTTTATCTTTAGAGCGTGATTTTTTTTTAAAAAACATGTAGTTTCTCACTCACTCAACAAGAAAACTAAACATATGAGTCCTGCAGCCTCACTGTTTTAGATTTAAAAACTAGAATACAGTGTTCCCTCGTTTATCACGGGTGTTAGGGACCACACCCCCCATGTTATAAGTGAAAAACCATGAAGTAGGGATACAGTAGTCCAAGTAGTAGTAGTAAGTAGTAGTTTATTTTAGTATTTATATATGAAGGCGTTATAAACCCTTCCCACAATCTTGCAATATTCTAAACAATGTTTCTAAACTCTAAATGCTCTAAAAGAGCACACGTCATGATTTCAGCTCTCAGCCTCCTGCTGCACTTTGCCCTCTGCAAGCACTTTCAGCCACGCCCACTTCTCCGGTGCAGAACAGAGATATGGCACGCTGAAGGATGAAGCTTCTGCTGCAGCTGTAGGCTGCACAAAGGTGCAGCAGGTGCAAAATAATTTTAAATAATTTATTTTAAATAAAAATTCCATGCTGATCGTGCGTCTCATCCATCAATCAGCCAGTTGTGTGTCATGTCCAGTCTTATTTTTGAAAAACCGTGATAGAGCGAGACCGTGATAAACGAAGCGTGAAGTAGCAAGGGACTACTGTATTCTCAGTTTGCCAAGTCAGATATGGTAATTGATCTCTAATCTCTTAGTTGACAGGTTTATGTGTGTTTTTGGAAAAAAGCTCAATTTTCTTGCTTAACTAAAAAAGAAGTAATCATAAAATCTTCTCAGACAAACTCCGGTTTTATTTGAGCTTTTCTGTTATTTTAAGAGGAAATTGAATTGCTGGATTTTTGCTTTGCTGTGGGTTTAAATCACTCGTTCATGTTGGCACTAGAATAATAAATATAGTGTTTGTGTGAAAGACATTTGTTTAAAAAAAACATTGTGGTGAAGACAAGGTGAAAATTCACAAGTTATTTATGATTCATGCAGGTTAGAGAATAACATGTAGCTTATGTGTTTTTTGTTTTTGTTTTCTGGGAGTCCACACAGAGTCCTGTTATTGTGGGGTAAAGAATTAAAAAAAATCACATAATTTATAAAACATGACAGGGCAGTTGGTTTTAGTTGCACTATGTATTTATTTAGTCCATAAATTTGTATTTCTTTTTTCAACTAATCAACAAAAGGTTGTTCCTTTTTGCATTTATCGCTTGTTGTCTATTTGCTGACCTGTACACATATAACTAACAGCTGACATGCTGCGTTAAGAAAACGACTCCGAGTTCAAAACGTTTAGACATTAAGTAAAATGTAAATTAAAACAAAATTTTATGATTTGTAAATCTTACGAACCCATATTTTCTTCACAGTGGAACATAGTAAACACATATAATATTGAAACCAAGAAATTGTACAATTATACACAAAAAAAGGTCATTTTTGATTTTATGGCAGCGACACGTTTAAAACAGGACAGAGTCAACAAAAATCTGAATCAGAATAAGCTTTATTATCATTGCACCGTAGTACAGTACAGTGAGATTATGTTTGTAAGTCGTCCAAAAGATGGGCGGAGTTCACGTTGCTGCCGCTCCTAAGAGCGCGGCCCCTTATTCTTTAGATAGAAAAGGGGAAAGGCCATGAGGAATGAGGATAGGATGATGGTATTACAAAAAAAGATCTTTTCACTCCTTATCCTTGTCAGGACACAATTTAAGACATCAAAAAACTCTAACTGTACCAGCAAGCACATTTATAACACGTTACATATGCATTTGACAACAAGACGGTGAGATTTGTCCGTGAAGCACTTCCAGATAGCACCATAGACCTGATGAGATGTTGGTGTCAGCTGGTTCAGCTCTGATCAGCATTCACAGAAGTTCTGGGGGGGGGGGGGGGGGGGGCAGATAGAGCAGAGCCTTCTTTAATTTACACATATCCCAGGAGAAATGTGATAAGTTGGCCTGCTTCAAGGCCGAAAGGGGGAGTTAGATTCAGATAAGCCACAGTTATTTCTCGACAGCCTTGAGTTCTGCTGCTACTTTTGCTGATCCAAAATGGTCAGATTTGTGGGCATTCCACTGGTCCGTGCTCATTATCTCCCTCCACGGTCGTCTCCAACATGCTGGCGAGTCCCAGAAACCGCAAGTGGCCTGCGATTCTTGCAAATCGCTTCCATCTTACGGTTGAGCTCGTAAATCAGCTGATTTTGAGTTCTCGAAGCACAAACCAAACCTTCACATACGCTCGGCAGCTTTGTAATGGGCAAAACTGCTGCCGCCGTCTTCTTCAATAGCCGATAACATAGGTATCTTCTGGTGCCAAAAAGCAGAAACTCTATCATGATTCAAATGATATAAACATCTTCGGTGTCTTCCTGAGAAAATACAGAAAGACACATCAACTTCCAACCTCCCCACGGATCCATGACGTGCCCTGCCTCGTGCGTCTCAGCGCAGCATGAGGGCTCTCCAGGACCCTGTCGCTTGGTTGAAATTTTTTATCAATAGCGTTGAAAGTCCAGCTGACCAGATCCATGACAGTAGTTTACGATTCGTAAGATGTGTAAATAGAAGCTCCGTTACACAAGACAGAGAACAAAAAAGCAGGAGGGAGACAGGAGAGGGAAGAAAAGCATCCATCTTGCTTGAGAGCGAGTGAGGAAAAGCTGTACAAGTAAAAATAAGAAACATCTGGAGGAGCATTTTGCAGCTATTAGTCTAATTGGCAACAGGTCAGTGGGGAGACCTGGTATAAAATGAGCAATTTACTGTAGAGAAGTAAAGATGGGCAGAGGTTCACTAGTTTATAAAAAACTGCATCTAAAAATTGTGGAACAATTTCAGCATAATGTTCATCAATGGATAATTGGTAAGACTGAAAATCCCATCATCTACAGTTCATAATATCATCAATAAATTTCAGGAATCGGGAGAAATCTCTGTGCCTTAAGGACCAGGCTGAAAGTCAACACTGGTGATTTTAGGACCCTCAGGGTCTACTGCAGGCCTGATTCGGTTCTGCACGTCACTGCATGGGCAGAACATGGGTCACAGTCCTCTGTGGCGTCCACAGATTCTGGTTAAAGCTCTGACATGCAACGAAGAAGCCATATGTGAACACTATCCAGAAATGCTGCCATCTTTTCTAGGTCAAAGTTCATCTAACATGGACTTACGCAAAGATGAATTAAATCATTTTTGAAAAAGAAGAAGGATCATCCAGCATAGGGTCAGGGCTCAGTTCAAAAGCCTGCCTCTCTGCTGGTATGGGGGTGCATTACTCCCTCTGGGATGGGCAGCTTAAACGTTTGGAAAGGCACCGTCAATGGGGAAAAGTAGACAGGGTTTAGAACATACGCTTCTATTCGACAAAAAATAAAGTAAAAACACAGCAATGAAGAAACGGGACTGTTGAACAGCTATAATCGTACATTAGACAATAATAGGACAACATTTCCCTCCAAAATTTTCATTTATGAGACTTCAAACCATTCAATTTTTTTAATTTACATTTTACTCTTAACATTGTAGCTTTTTTTTTTTAGAATTGAGGTTGTAGATCACATGCCCTTTCCTCACATTTCTGCCTCCCTAACTGGGGAACAGAGATGTGAGAAAGAGGCACGGGTGAGGGGAAAGAGAGGCCATGCCAGCCTGATGCTAAACACCGTGACGGCCTCCTCTCCTGCCAGGTTGAGCAGCTGAAAGAAGAGCTAACTCACAGCCGGTCAGAGAACGACGAGCTAAGGCTCCAAGCCAATGAGCTTCAGAAGGAGGTGTCTGCAGTAAGAGACGCACCTCTGTCTTCCTTCTTTCTCTCTCTTTAACAGGCTGCTTGAACACTTTCAGTAGAATCACAGCAGTGCGTTCAGACAGCTGTAAGCAGCTAAAACACTCAATTGTCCACAGTTCACACAACAGCAGCTGCAAGTAGTTAGCTGTACTAGACTGAAGGGTCCAGCTTAAACGTCTTGACTTTTGTACAAACTAAAAAATGAAATGAGCCTGAAATGTTCTTTTATAGTCTGAGAGGTATTACTTGTCTCTATAATACACCTGCTATGTTTAAACGTCTTCTTCTACATACAACAATAAACAGCAGTATCCATAATGGATGGATGGATTAATGGTAGTAAGTACAAAGAAACAGAACAAGGTAAAAACATTGAGCAACACATTTATAAGCCAAAAATCTTAATGCAAGGCGAAGCAACTTTAGCATTTTATTGAAAATGGCGATAGAACAGGACATTTTTACTTTCCCGTTCAGCTCATTCCAATTCTGCAGTGCTCTTGAGCAGCTCAGCAGTGTTTTGGTTGTGAGATCTGTGGCTTTGACGGTAGATGCTTCAGCAGTCTGAGTGATGCAGCTGCAGAGTTGAGAGAATCCAGATGTCCTGAGCTCCACTTGGTGCATTTCTTACCTGCTTCTTTCTTCTTGCATGAGTTTGAACTAGCGCTGTAGCTCAGTTTGCTGAGAAATTTGCTTGAGCACATTTTCCACTGGTAAGGTTTGGGTCTCTTCTTTTAAGACATCCTAAATACAAACAAGCTAAGGATCAGTCCAAACACTGACCTGCATTCTTCTAAAGAGGACGGTCCTCGTTTGATGTCTCTCCGTACAGCAGTGGGAATTTTCTTTTTGGTGTTATTTATGAAAGTAAAGAAATAATAAATAAAAGAATAGACCCTGAGCCTTCAGTGATGTGTTCTGTAAAAAATGTGGCTGACTTCCACGTGTTTCTAACTTTTTATTGCTTTTCAGGAGAGGAACTTTAAAACAAGGCCTCTTTTTTCAATAGTAAACCTTTAAAATGTCTGTTTTGTTGCAGTAAAAATCTTTCATGTCACTTAAAAGAAAGCAGACCTAATTTGATGTGGCAAGAAATTATGATTTTTTTCAACATCTTAAGTTCAGTTAGTTGAAATTTTAACATGCATGCACCCCAAAGCAACATCTCACTTTCTAAAACATGGTAGATTTTAATATCAGACTAGTATGTTTCGTTTTCTTTTTTATATTAACAGAGTATTCTTGTCTTCATACCGTTTGTGTATTACTCAGATGGAGCAGGCCAAGCAGGAGCTGAGTCGTAAAGACAGCGAGCTGCTGGCTCTCAGGACCAAACTGGACACTCTGAACAATCAGTTTTCTGACAGCAAACAACACGTCGACGTCCTCAAGGAGTCCCTCACTGCCAAGGAGCAGAGAGCTGCCATACTGCAGACCGAGGTAAAACCTTTGAGCCGCGCTGCTCCACCCTGTATTTGGCTTCTGAATGTTTTTTTTTTAACGAGCCATTGCCTCTGTGCGCTCAGGTGGATGCCTTACGTCTTCGCCTGGAAGAGAAGGAGTCTCTTCTATCAAAAAAGAGCCAGCAGATATCCGAGCTGACGGAGGAGAAGAGCACTCAGCAAGGAGAGATCACAGATCTTAAAGACATGCTGGAAGTCAAGGAACGCAAAGTCAATGTGCTGCAGAAAAAGGTATGAAACAAATGCCTGTAAAGGTTGTTTCCCCAATTTTAGTTTTGTTCATTTTAGCTACTGTTTTCTTCATTTTAGTTTTTATTCATTTTAGTTACTGTTTTGCTAATTTTAGCTACTGGTTTGCTAATTTTAGCTACCGTTTTGATCATTTTAGCTTCTGTTTTGTTCATTTTATCTACTGTTTTGCTCATTTGTGGCTACTGTTTTGATAATTTTAGCTACTCGTGTTCATTTTAGCTACAGTTTTATTCATTTTAACTACTGTTTTGCTCATTTTAGCTACTGTTTTGATCATTTTAGCTAGCTTAGTTTATTTTAGCTACTGTTTTGACCATTTTAGCTACTGTTTCGTTCATTTTAGCTACTGTTTTGATAATTTTAGCTACTATTTTGTTCGTTTTAGTTACTGTTTTGTTCATTTTAGCTACTGTTTTGTTCATTTTAGCAACTGTTTTGCTAATTTTAGCTACTGTTTTGATCATTTTAGCTACTGTTTTGTTCATTTTAGCTAGCTTTGTTTATTTTAGCTACTGTTTTATTCATTTTAGCTACTGTTTTGTTCATTTTTGCTACTGTTTTGTTCATTTTAACTACTGTTTTGCTCATTTTTAGCTATTGTTTTGTTAATTTTTAGCTACTGTGGCTGAGTGGTTAGAGCAGTCGTCCTCCAATGCGAGAGTTGGGGGGTTCGAATCCACCAGCTGTCACATGTCGAAGTGTCCCTGGGCAAGACACTGAACCCCTCATAGCCTCTGATGTGTGTCCCATCAGTGTATGAATGTGATCTAAAGCTCTGATTAGTCTCTTTAGAATGCAAAACTGGTTTGTTCCACTTTGGAGTAAGCTGTTGGGGGAAGAATCAGTTTTGTTGTGTCCAACATTTTTCTGTCAGGTCATCTGGACAGTTTCTTTTTTTGTGCTGAAACGTTTTGAAACGTTTCAGCACAAAAAAAGAAACTGTCCAGATGACCTGACTGAAAAATGTTGGATTTTATACCTGGATTATTGCGCATGGACTTTGTTGTCTCTTTAGAATGATTTGTTCAATTAGCTTTGTAGAGCTAGTAGAGTGCTGTATGAATGGGTAAATGAGGCACAGATTGTAGTGTAAAGCACTTTGAGTATCTTGAAATAAGATAGAAAGGCGCTATATAAGTACAGTCCATTTACCATTTACCATAATTTTAGCTACTGTTTTGTTCATTTTAGTTACTGTTTTGTTCATTTTAGCTACTATTTTCCTAATTTTTAGCTACTGTTTTGCTCATTTTTGTCTCTGTTCTGTTTGCTTTAAGTTGAACTACTTTATATATTATTATATTATATTATATATTTATATTTCTTTGGTTAGGATAAAAAGATACTATTTATTCAGATGCATCAATCGAATTTCTGCAGCATGATGCTGATTTGTTGTCATGCAAGACTCTAACCACTAGATGGAGGTGTAGGAAAGGCTATAGTGTTGGAAGCTGCAGCAGAAAGAATGGCAGGTGAAATCATGGAAAGATCCTTTCGAAAGAGGCGCAGAAGACAAAAATTACAATAAAGCACTATGTGGTGATATTTACTCTAATCATGAGTCGCAGGTTGTAAGCAAACATTCTTTTTTGTGTGTTTTTCCTTTCAACAATTTCTTATTTCTCAACCCATTTCTTCCAGTTTTGTCTTCCAGATAAAAAGTTGGAAAGCAAAGTGTGCACAGATAATTAATACAAACAATCAAGCTGACAGACATACAGCAGGACAGGGAGGGGGAGGAGAGACACAGTGTGTTTAAATCCGATGCATGCTAATGACTTCCTCTTGTTTAATAAATGATGAACTCTGCTGTCTTCAAATAGAATACAGTTCACAGTTGGAGAGGGTGATGCTGCCGATTCTCTCAGCATTCAGACTGCTCCTGATTTCCCCCAATTTCTCGTCTTTATTCATTTAATTTCCAACTTGTGTTTTTATTTTCCTTTGTAGGTAAATTACCAATGAGCGTGTGGCTTATTAGTGCTGAAAGCGTTTATCTGATCCATCTTTATGGGCTAAAAACACTGAAGTAAAGGCACGGCTGCAAGTTTAGAAGTGTGTGCTCGAGTGCGTTATCCTGGAGTTGTCAGGTTCAGGAAATCCACAGCAGATCAAATAGTCTCACTGCCTCTCAATGTCAGGTGTGCGCTTGTATGTGTGCAAGAGAGGGGTGGAGGTGGTGTCAGTCAAGCTGTCAAGTTGCTGGTTGATTAATGATGTGCAGGGAAAGTTTTACTGTATGAACACACATGTCTGTGCTACTGTAAATGTGCGTTTCACCTGCAGTCAAGTTAAAGGTTGCAAAATAACCTTTTTGTTGGATGTAAACAGTCACTTCGCTTTATTTCCCTCTAACATAAAAATAAGTTTAAAAACATATTCACTGTAACTCCTCCTTTCTCTTTTTGGGGACTGCCTAGTGTTAGGCAGCACCTATTATTATCCACCTGACAAAAGGTTTCTTAACTTTATATCTTACTCTTCTGTCAATTTTAATGCGACCCGAACAACAACGTACACCCCAACAAGTGTTGTATCAAAACGACCGGCTCTGCGCTGTGATGTGTGCTATTACTTCTATTGGCGTTTCAAGTTACCGTGGTGACGTAATATGCAAACAAACACGCCTTTTTCTCCATTCAAAACGCCTGACAGATTACTCCTCCCACTAACAGCTGCTGTGAGGTCACATGACTTAGAGTGTAGAGGCCCCTGAAGAAATCTTAGAAAGTTGCTGTTGGATTTGTTTGAAACTCACAGGAAGTAATCATCAGATGTATCTCTAGAACTGATTAATGTTTGGAGCCATTTTGATTCAAGATGGCTGCCACAGCTACCTCAGCAAACACAAAATTGACAATAACTCGGTCATTCTTTGAGATATTGAGCTGAAATTTAGCATGGTTGTAGCTGAGAGCGAGATGTTATACATTCCTAATGCAAATCAAAAATCCAAGATGGCCACCCTAGCTAAAAGGGAAAAAATATGATAACTCAGCCATTTTTAGAACTATTCTGCTGAAATTTGTTGTATTGGTAGCTGGAACGATCCCTAATAGACTCTGACTGCAAATCAAAAATCCAAGATGGCCGTCTGAGCTAAACAGGTTAAATACTATAAATCGGCCAATTTTAGTGATATTGAGCAGAAATTTGGTGTGGTAATAAACGTTTTCCATCAAATGCTGCATCCGAATCAAAAATCCAAGATGGCCACCAACGCTACATTTAAATGGCTTTAACTCAGCCATTTTTACACATATTGAGTTGAAATTTGGTGTGGTTATAGCTGAGAACATTCCCTATTATATACTGAATCCAAATAAAAAATCCAAGATGGCCACCTTAGCCAAAAGAAAATATGACTATAACTCATTGAATTTTTGCCATACTGAGCTGAAATTTGGTATACTGGTAGTTGAGAGTGAACAGTGACACATAGTACTGTCAAATCAAAAATTTAAACTGGCAGCAGCCTGGCAGTCCCCGTCAAAGTTTCTCCAGGAACTTTGTATTTTTTTTGCCTACTATGGGTTAAATATACCATTTATTGTATCAAGCCACTTACATCCACCTTAACCTCCTCTTACCCTTACATCAAAATCTGAATCATCAAAGCCTTTAAAGGTCTATCATTTAGAAAATTCATTCACGATCACACTTTATTATATCTGCTGGTTTTGTGTTTGAACAGAAAATAAATCTGCTACTAAATCTCTGTGAGAAGAACCATGGGATGATGGGAGGAGATGGGTTTGGAGTGTGTGTATTTGGATTGAAGGTCAAGGGCAGCAAAGTTGAGAAATGTTACCTCAGTTTTCTTCTCTCGTGTCCAATTTATTATAGTCAGAGATTTCTGTTTGTTTTTGGCCCCCCAAATTAATTTGATTTGAAATGAATGGGAACTTGAACATATCACATTTGTGCTGGTATAAGCATTGCACTTATACAATGGAATAAATAAGTTTTTACTAAATATTCTTGCTAAAATACTAAACTTTTCAGCCACTTGTGAAATATTTTCATATTCATCAGGTCTGTTTTCTTGTGCTTTGTTTTCGAGGCTCTGAAAGCCCAACGATCAGCCAAGAAAACAATTTTTATGAACAACAGGTGAGTTGTGCATCCCAAACCGTACCGTTGATGACGAGTGTTTCTTTCTGCAGATCGAGAACCTCCTGGATCAGCTGAGGGATAAAGAGAAGCAGCTGAGCGGACTGAAAGACCGAGTGAAGTCTTTGCAGACGGACACGTCCAACACAGATACCGCTCTGGGAACGCTGGAGGAAGCTCTGGCTGAGAAGGTACACACTCACTGATGCACGTAGGAAAACACCCGCTGCCGGTCAACCTCAGGTCAACTCACAAGCAAGGTTACGTTAATAAAACCTTTTATGAGCGAACCCACCGACCACCCCGATGTTGACTCTGGATGAATGGAAGAGAACCAATACTCACACCGGTTGTTTTAATATGAAATTATTCACAGCCTGAGCAGCCACTTGACTCAAAGTAACCCATTGATTACTGTTTAGGTCTGAACTTTTTGGTTCGTAACAGTCGTCAGGCTGCTTTCTGGCGTTATTTGTGTCTGCAGACATGTTAGCGGGTATTTTCCTACTGTTTCAAGTTATTTCTTACCAACTCGGAGTCTTACAAACTACAGGAAGCAGGTTATTAATGGAGCAGTGCCTCAGTGTGTTGGTGAGATGTGTTGGCAGGAGGATTTTTCTTTTCTCTTTTAAATCCTTTTGTGCCACCATCTTTGTTGTTGTGCCACAATCGATGTAATTTGCAAACAAAGATGCCATTTTTCTCATTGAAACAAATTATAAATCAGCCTTTTTTTTAGAGATATTAAGCTGAAATTTGGTTTGGTGGTAGCTGAGAGTAATGCCCTATAAATACTGAGAAAAAACTTCAAGATGGCTTCTAAGCTAAATTTAAATGGCTTTAACTCAGCTATTTTTACACATATACAACTTACATTAGGTGGGGTTATAGCTGAAAAGGTTCCCCATCATATACTGAATCCATTAGCAGGGTTTCTTCTTTCTGGCTTTGGCGGATTCTTATGTTATCGGCTATTAAAGAAGACGGCTGCAGCAGTTTCGGCCATGGCAAAACGCTGAGTCTGTGTGAAGGTTTGGTTCGTGCTTCGAGTTCTCAAAATCAGCTGATTTACGAGCTAAACCGTAAGATGGAAGCGACTTGTGAGAATCGTAGACCACCTGCGGCTTCTGGGACTCGCCAGCATGTTGCAGATGACCTTGGAGGAGGCTCATAAGCACAGACCAGTGGATTTCCCACTAATCTGGCTATTTTGGATCTTGAAAGTACCAGTAGGACTCAAGGCTGACAAGAAAAAAACGGTCTGCCTGAAAAAAATCAACAATTGTAGCTTACCTGAATCTCACTCCCCCGTTGGCCTCAAAAAAAGGCAGACTTGTCAAATTTCTCCTGGAATGTGTGTAAACTAACCTTCATCTATCGCAACCCCTCCCCTGAGAATTTCTGTGAAGGCTTATCAGAACTGTGCCGGCTGACCAACATCTTATCAGGACTATGGTCTATTTGTAAGTGCTTCATGGACAAATCTCACTGTAAATGCATATGTAATGTGTTTATAAATGTTCTAGCTGGTAGAGTTTTCGGAGGTTTTAAATCATGTCCTGATAGGACAAGATGTGAAGAGATCTTCTTTTGTAATGCCACTATCGTATCCTCATGTCTTTTCCCCCTTTTCTATCTAAAAAAGTATTCTGAAAACGTATAAGGGTCCGTGCTTCAGTAGCAGCAGCAACATGCACTCCGAACATAATTTCACTGTATTTGGGTACAATGATAACAAAGCTTATTCTGATTCTAATTCTGAAATCAATAATTCAAGATGGCCACCTTAGCTTAAAAGGAAAAAAAAACTATAAGTCATTGATTTTTTTCTGCCATATTGAGCTGAAATTTGGTGTGGTGGCAGCTGAGGGCGAACCCCAACATACAGTGCTGTCGAATCAAAAATTTAAAATGGCCACAATGTGGCAGTCCCCATCAAAATTTCTACAATAACGTTCTAGTTTTTGCGTTATGCTTCAGTTTCATGCATGCCTTTTTTATTTGTTTAATGTTTTTATGGTTAGAAACTGTTAAGAAATGATTGAAACCGCAGGATTGTCGTTTTTTCCTTGATTTTTTTATTCTTTAATGAAAACAGAAAACTGCCATTAACGTGATCAAATGCTTAACAAAATAATTGTTTTTACTCCTGAGCAATTAGTTGAGAGAGATTTTAAAGCAGGACAGCTATCGTTTCTTAAAATAAAAAGATATCAACATATTTAAATTAGAACCCTGAATGATTGGATTCACACATTTAGCATTTTAAAAACTTACCTAGCACTATCGGTGTACACTCTGGGTTTGTGCACTTCTCTTGTGAACTTTCGTACTTTTCTTTTAGCTGGCTGCTGTGTTGCTCCATGGCGCTCCATCTTTGTATTTTAGTAGTTGTGAGTTTTAAATCTTCTGCCAAAATGCATTACGTGTGTAAAGTCACTGCTGGCCTGATCCTGTCCAAGCTGCCATTCATATAAAGTTTAATTTGACAGTTATTAGAACAGAAACTTGATATTATGTGACCATGAATGGCTGTTTAAAAGTCAAATGTTTTTTACGGTTTCTTTTTTTGTTTCCATCACCTTCTTCTCCCTACTTTACCCTTTTGGCTTTGACTGGACGCATGCCGGTCCTTTTGTAACTTCCTTCTACTTTTTCTTTTATTGTGTTCAGGAGCGAATTATTGAGCGGCTGAAGGATCAGCGTGAAAGGGAAGAGAGAGAAAAGACGGACGAGGTGGAGTCCACCAAGAAGGAGCTGAAGGAGCTGAGAGAGAAAGTGTCTCAGCTGCAGGCTGAGCTGGCTGATCGAGAGGTGGGGATCACTACACATGCATCCGTTTTGTCACAAAGTTATCAGGACATGCCTCAACGTTTCCCAAAGTCCTTTCACTGAATGACAACTACAGTTGCTTTCTTAATGTAATGTAAAGTTCACAACTGTTTGAAATATGGGATGACAGCTGAATTTTTGTGACTTTTTGGTTAAAAAAACCACAGCAGAAGCAAAGAGGCACAAACCACACTGTCCCAGATACTCAACTGGTGTCTGCTCCCCTCATTTCCTCCATTTGTGCCTCATATTCAAAAACAAGCACTGTATTTTTCAGCCTTTAAGTTGTGTTTTTTTGCATAATTTGTATGCCCTGCGACTTATAGGCCGAAACGATGTATTTATGGATTTTTTCCTCATATTTATAAACCAAGTTTTGGCTGAGATATGACTGTTTTCATTAATTCTGACTGAAAATATTGAACACTACCATTTTCAGCCACTAGATGGCACTCGAGTAGTAAGACATGCCATTGTTTCATGTAATAGGTAAAAGTGGCTATTAATGACACAATCGGCTTGCCATAGCCTGCCACCATCGTCTGCCTGGAGCAACCGAGTCAGCTTCATTTTTCTGTGCTGCCCCGGCGAAATGCAGCTGATTTGAACGTCCAAGTGCATTTATTAAGTAAAAGTTAAACTGAGACACACCTTTGCTATAAAGTTGAGCAAACAAATAATTGTTTTTAGGTGGTTATCTTGTTAAATTTCGACGAAATGGACCAAGTCGCCCTCTGCGCGTTCATGATTCTGCGCATCATCTTTTGAAAATGCAACTGATTTGACCATCAAAGTGCATTTATTAAGCAAAAGTTGGACTGAGACACACCTTTACTATAATTCTGAGCAAAAAAAAAAAAAGTTTTTTAAGAGTCAGTCGCGTTTTGCCCTGACAGTTTTCACATAAATTTGAGACGGTTTGCCTTAAAATGCACGCGTAATATCTAATTTAAATATGGGTCAGTTTCACGGTCAAAGGTAGATGCTGTGCTGAGGCAGAGGCACATTTTGTGAAGCTTTATGAATCAGTAAAATCCAAAATGAAGCACACAAAGTATGGGCAAACTGTTATTTAATTCCAGTTTATTCTGCAGCTGAAAAAAGGTACAGTTAGTTATAAAAAAAAAAATAAATTAAGATGAACTAAAATACAATTCTTGGAAAGTTTTATCTAATTCAAAGAAAAACATAACCTCCTGTTGTAATATGGAAATAAGGAGGAAAAAAAACATCCTGATGCCAGATTTGCAGAAAATTAAAAAAAACACCTTTTTCTTGTTTGTAGAGCTATATGCAATAATTAGCTGCAACGTGCCTGGCTGAATAAAATGCATGTGTTAATGAACTAACAAAAAAGAAACCTGCTGGTTCAAACTGAGATGTGCATAAATAATGAACTGGTACGAGTTTTATTGAAGGAAAACATCAGTGAACACAATGAAGGCAAGACTTGTAATGTAAAAGAAAATAGCTAAAGTATTATTAATGGAAATATATCTTTATTAAAATATGTTGTATGTGGTGTTAGATCCAACATAATCTATAAATACATGTTTTTATTTATTATAAAATGCAAGATATTGTGTTAGTAAATTAGAATCAATGGTGTTTTTTGTGTGTGTTTTACTATCACGCCATACAAAATGAGGTGTACTGTAGTTTTAGTACTATAAGGCGCACTTAAAATTCTTTAATTTTCTCAAAAATCAACAGTGAGCCTCATAATCCGAAAACTACGGTAGTTGTTTCCACTGCTTTGACATCACGCTGAGCCAGTAAAGTTTTCAAATTTATTTTTTAATCTTGTTTCGTTCTCAAAATCAGAGCAACTTAGCAAAGTTACCAGTGATATTTTTCCTTGTAAGAGAACTTAAAGTTAAGCTTTTTCACCATTCCAGGCTGCACTTTTTAGTTAATTTTAGTGATTGTGGGATCATAAAAATTGTCGCCACAGGAAAAAAAAATAGTCTTAAAAAAACAAGCATTCCTCTTTTTCACCACTGGACACAGATGTGGGGTTTGTCGGAGAACACCGATGTATATGCAAACCTAAATATATTCTGTGTAAGCAGCAAGGGTTCTCCGACCAAAGCCCAGTCAAACATGATGATCTGCAGTCTGATGTTGGTAAGGTCAGTCAAGGGTAAAATTACACGTCTGAGCATCGCTCCTTCTGGTCCTGTTGGTTTCTGTTTCACTGCCTTTACCAAAAACAAGAAAAGGAAGGGAGCGAGAGATTTCACGGATGGAGGGATTGAGCCTAAGAGTGGGAAAAAGACAGGTCATGGGAAATCTTACGACCAACGAGGGGCAGAGTTCATTGTACAACTGTGGAAGGAGGATAATTCTATGTTATTCCACCTGACTTTAGGCACCGAGGAGCCAAACGGATCCCAGGCATGTCACAGTGACAGTGACAGTGACAGACAGCCGTGCACGCTCCCACAAACAGCCAATTTAGAATATCTAATCAACCTTTCATGCATAACTGAGGACTGTGAGAGGAAACAGGAGCAGCTGCAGGAAGGAAAAAAAAAAAACAAGAAAGAAAACATGGCGCAGGCTAAATGTGCAAATTTCACGCAGGAAGGTTTCAGCAAATGTTCGAAACTTCTCGTTGTGAGGTTTTCTCCATGCGTGTCATAAAACTACAACTCTCATTATTACAGGCCTGAAACTTCCAGCCATTTTATCTGGTTTGCTACACAGTTGTGAGTGCATGCTTAACAGAAGGAGATTGTGCATGTATGAAAATAGATTTTTAAATCTTCGAGCTGAAAACGTAATGTGCTTTACTTTGATGCTAGAAATAGACTTTAGGTTGCTGACTGAAGTGGTTTTGCTTTCTTCTTTTATGGATATTTAGATCCAAAATGATTGATAAAATACCAAAAAGGTGTTTTGTGTGTATAAATTCTGTGCCATCACTCTTTGTTAGCATTCGTTTTTCTTTCATTAGACTTCCGTTTTGGATCTGAAAGAGAAAGCCTCCTCCCTGGCATCCTCGACTCTGAAGAAGGAGAACCGGCTCAAAAGTTTAGAGATCAGCCTGGAGCAGAAGAGAGAAGAGTGCATCAAACTGGACAACCAGCTCAAGAAGGTTCGTTAAAGAGAGTCAACAGGAAGTTATTTATCACAGAAATCGAAAAATCTATTTTGATCGAGTTTTACAGAGAAAACTTGATCAAAATTGTCAACCAGATCAGATATATTGGTTTTTTTCATGACAAAGAGAGCCTAAGAAGGTTCTGCTGAAAAATAAAATCTGTTTTCTAAAACTCTGGATTGAAAGAACTCTCTAAAACAGTCCAAAGCGAATAATAACAAAAGCACAATTAGACTATAATGAATTGTCATATTACAGTAGTCCCTCGCTACTTTGCGGTTCAACTTTCACGTTTTTTTTCAACGATTATTTAATATCACTCACGTGACTGGGACGGTACAGGATAAAAATTTATTGAAAAAACACTTCGGACAGGCTCCGCCATTTTGTAGTTTTCTTTCAATAAACCTATACTGTAAGGCCAGCCAAAAGTACTACACTACCCAGAAGCCAATAGTGCTTCCAAACTCTGCTTTCTGCCAAAATGGAGGGAAAGTTTTGCAACGCAAATCTACGCTATTTCTTAAGCTCACAGAACTGACAGGAAAGTTGCAAATAATCCTGAAGCTCAATTATCCACATGCGCATCAGCCTGGACGGGGCGGTGGGCTTCGTCGCTGCAGGGTAGCCGAACCGGAACCGAGCCCGACCGGATCCGAGCTGCTGTTCTGCAGAGCTGGTGAGTAAAATTTTGCAGTACTGTACAGTACATATATGTACAAGTATGTTGTTAAACTGTTGTTTGGCAGCACGACAGTTCAGTGGTTAGCACTGTTGCCACACAGCAGGTCCTGGGTTCAATCCCCGGTTGGATCTGGGGTCTTTCTGTATGAAGTTTGCATGTTCTTCTCGTGCTTGCGTGGGTTTTCTCCGGGTACTCCGGTTTCCTCCCACAGACCAAAAAAACATGCATGTTAGTCTGCCTTCAGGCCCAGGCCTCATCTTGCAGAATGCTCAATGGGATTTGCCTGGTTAAATAAACGTTAATAATAAAATAAATAAAAGTATGTAGGTTTAAGAGTTTAGAACATTGCAAGAGCGTGGGAAGGGTTTATAAAGCCTTAAAATATATATAATACTAAAATAAATATAGGATTCCTACTTCGCATTTTTCCACCTATCGCGGGTGTGTGTGGAACGTAACCCCCACGAAAATCGAGGGACTACTGTATATTGTATTACATCACATCATTTATCATAATATTGCAACATAAAATAACATATCACTTCGTATTGTATCATATATCATATATTAAATGAGTATATTATATGTAATATATTATGTCATGTATCATATTATGAATCATGGTGTATGTTATACTGTATCATATAACGTGTATATATATATATATATATATATATATATATATATATATATATATATAAGTACGTCTCATATAGCTTACATCATATATCATATGACTTGTTTTTCACAGATGAATACTTGTGTGTAGTGTGTGTTTTGTGTGTACTTGTATCACATCTTCTCCTCCAAGCGGCAGTCCATAAAGTGTGTGTGTGTGTGTGAGAGACAACCTGCTGACAGCCTTACGGTCTTTTTCACAGACTCCAGAAACAGCACCACCATCACACCCTCAATGTGTGTGTGTGTGTTCACATGTATGTGTGTGAGAAGACGTGACAAACGCAGAGAAGTAGGAATATGTATGACGGCATCTGTGGTGTTTCTCTCATCAGACTTTGTTTTGTCTCTTTGTGTTATCCCACCAAGAATGGGGGGATTTGTGCCATGGTGTCTTATTTGTCTTTCTCTCCCTCCTCCTCCCAGATCTTCTTATATCTTATATCAGACACCCAAACATTTCCTCCCCACATAAAGACCTGTTAAATTTGCCGTCCACATCCAAAACTAATAGGGTTTATGTGTTGTGGGGCCGAGGCAGGCGCATGCACGCACACATTCGTAACGTCTATCTGTCCCAAGAGCAACATTTATTTCTGGGAAACACACACAGATGTTCTAACCTCTAAGCTGGTTATAACGTGTTTTATTTTTCTTTGTTTTGTTCCATTTCTTACTTTAACTCATTTTTTGTTTCTTCAGTGGAGCCGAGCAGAGCGGAAGACTAAAACCGCTGAAACCTACTTTCATTTCCCTTTTGAATGTAAAATAGTTTTGTGCTCGTGATAAATTTAAACACAAACGCGACACAGGGATGGTTTCTGACTTTTTAAAGACTTCAGGTGTTATAATAGTTGGATTTTTGTCTACATTAGTTTATGCAGAAAAATTGTTCAGACTTTAACACAGAAACAAACTAAATATGAGGTGTTCATGAAATGTTATGATAATACGCTCCTTTAGTGAGTTTAAAAACTAACATCCTACTCGGAATCCAATAAACACTCATCCTGAGTGTTTAGTGCGTTCATGTTTATGTTTATGGGAATTTGAAATGCAGAGCTTGTCTTGTTAGCCTGAAATAACTTCCTGTTAACAAGATGGCTGCTGTGACACTGCAGCTAACGACTTTATTACGCTAATATGTTGGAACATGACCACAATTCTGCAAAACATTTACATTACCGTGACCCTCGATTGTGTTGCACTGTGCTTAAGTGCAAATTACAGATGTAAACAAGCTAACAAGTTAAACTAAAAATGTGAAATATCCCAAAATGTCAACATGTTGTATTCTTTTTCACATTTGCATATTTTCAAAAGTTAAAACTGTTGTCTGCAAAGAAACCCCAAATCTAGCATTTACTTTATATTATCTTATTATCTGTTAATTGTGTGAACGTTTATGAAGCATTCACGCTATTATGATCCAGTTTTCTTCCGTGCATTTTTCGGAGCGATTCTCGTCCCGCAGTTTTCAAACTATTTCAACAAATCATAAATCAAAACATCTCTTTCAGGACAATCCTGATATGACTTTTGGTATTGGTGCAACTTTAGCTTTTTGAAATATTTAGCCTTTTCTGCCACTTTTATTCCTCATAGAAAATGAATTGAACTCATTTTACATCCTTCAAATCTTTAGAGCTGTTCACAACCTTTTACTGCTCCTTTCACATTTTGTTCCGGTTCAGCTTCTTTCAGCTTCCTTGTGCAAATTTAAACATTTTTTCAGCTATTTTTAGCTAATTTCAGCTGTTTCTTCAGCTGTTTTGTGATCCTTACAGATTAACTACAACATTTTTCTGTTTCTTCTAACTTCTTTCTGCTAATTTCAGCTTGTTATGCTCCTTTCAGCATATTTACGCCAGGTTCAGCTTTTTCTGCTATTTCAGCTGCTATTTATCTGTTTCTGTGCTAGTTTTAGCTTTTTCAGCAAATTCCACATTTTTTACACTCATTTCAACTTTTGTCAGCCTAATTCAGTAAAAATGTGCTCACTCCACTTCCTTCTGGCAATTTAAGTTTCTTTCAGCTTTTTTTAGCTACTTTTCAGCAGTTTTATTTAATAATTTCAGCTTTTTTCAGATAATTTCCAAATTTTTTTGCACAAACTTTTGCTTCTTTCAGCCTAATTGAGGAAGCGTGTTCTTTATGCTTTTTTCTGTTAATTTAAGCTTGTTCTACATTTTCACCTACCATTTTAGCATTTTTAGCTAATTTAAGTTGTTTTCAGATAAATTCAAGTTTTTCAAGGTAATTTCTGCTACTTTTAACATAATTAACTTGTTTCTGCTAATTTCAGCTTATGCTCCTTTCAGCTTTTTTCTGCTAGTTTCAGCATTTTCTGCTATTTCATCTATCATTTAGCTGTTGTATGATAAATTTGTTTCTTCCCACTAATTCTACTTTTTTTTTTTTTAGCTCATTTCAGCTCCTTCCACTTCCTTCTGGTAGTTTAAGCTTCTTTCTGCCTTTTCAGCTACTTTTTGTTAATTTCAGCAGTTTTTGCTAATTTACAAAATTTTTGTGCTAATTTCTTCTTATTTAAACGTAATTCAGCAAACATGTTCTTTCTGTTTTCTTGTGCTAACTTGGGCTTGTTCTTCCATTTCAGTTAAATTTCAGCTGTTTTTCAGGAATAAGACTGCATTTTCTTCTAGTGTCATTTTACCACCAGTAAGCACCGATACATCCACTGTGTGACTTTTACCAAATGTCTCCAACCCCTTCTCCGCCCACATAATGAACCCAACTCATCCATTCTAGTCTGAACTTGCTGTTTAGTTCATATGGTGGTCACCTCGGTTTGAAATCTAACGCTTGAGTTTATTTTTCGTACTAATTTCTGTTCCAGGCTCAGAGCGCAGCAGTGGAGTCGCAGGCCAATGCTGAACTCTCTGAACGCATCGCCTGCCTGGAGGAGGAAGTGGCCCAGTACAAGGAGGATGCTGGGAAGGCCCAATCTGAGGTGGAACGACTTCTGGACATCCTCAGGGAGATGGAGAATGAAAAGAATGACAAGGAGAAAAAGATCCATGAATTGGAAAGGTGAGAGAGAATTAGATTAGTTAGAATAACAAAAAGCTATTTTTAAAATTGTTTTTCTTATTTCAAACAATCAGGCCTTTTGCTTCCTGGAATAATTTAAAACCGAGGAGTAAAAATGTGTTTTACTTGTTAAATGATCATTTTACATGAAAATGTGCTTTCAGCAGCAGATTATAAGATGTTTGAGTTATGCTGATCTAAAATTAACTCATTAGTTTTCTCTCATTTCTTCCTCTCTTTTCTCTTTCCTACTTTTTTCTGCATTTTTTTTATATTTCCCCAACCTCTTTTTGTCATCGTAACCTCTGACAAATTGACTTTGTATGTGTGTGTTTGGGTTTATGTTTGTGTGTGCGTGTGCTCATCACACCTCAGAAATCCCTCAGCTTCTCATCTTTGGCGTTCTCAACAGTCTAAAAATCAGCCCCCAGCCCCTGCTGCCTCTCAGCAGCCAATGGGGGGACTGGTGTGGGACTACCTGGGCATGTGAGTGCCCCCCCATATCAGTCAGCGAGCTGTCTGACTCCCTGCATGACAAAACTCACTTTGCTTGTCAGAGGAAAGATGTGAGAGCATTACTATTACCATCCCCATGTGGAAAAGTTATGGGAATGAAACTGGTCAGTTTTCAATTAAAGTTCTGGCTAGGCCTGTCGCAATAAATAATTAATCAATTAATCGCACGATAAATTAAAATTATCAGCCTCCTTTTCATTTATCGGCTTTATCGATTCTTTGTCCTTCTTTCTAATGTAGACACTGGATGACAAAAAGCTCAGCTCTGGTGCTCTTCACTGACCCCTCCCTTTCCATTTTCTCTTTAAAATCCATTTTAGCTGTCCAAAATCACGTTTTTGGATCGTTAAAAGCATCTGAGAAGCTAGGCTACGAGCTAAGCTAAAAGGCCGACCTCGGCGTAAAACCTCCGTCTTGTCGAAGCTTCAAAATTCATGGTTGAAACCCATGCCTTTGTGTAAAAAGTTGTTTTTCTTTGCAAAAAAAAGCTGAGAACTTACTGATATTTTTTTTATTAAAAGCGTTGTGCGAAAAATTCTATGCTAACAAGCTCAAACCACACCGAGCGTCCGCCATTTTGAGAACCAAAAAAAAAGGAACGCGAGACGGCTCGTGTCACTTCAAGGGGCCTCCCTCCCATTTTTCTTAAAGAGACACGCTGCATTAACCAACATTTCTTCTTAAATTTGACAATAATTACTAATTATTGTCAAATTTCAAACAATATTATCATCTATCGCGATAACTTCTGAGACAATTAATTGCCCAGCAAAATTTGTCATCGTGACAGGCCTAGCTCTGGCCAAATTACAAGTAGTGATGATCCATCAGTGTAATAATTGTCTGACATCACCTTATACACATTTTTTCATGCTTTCCGCTTGTTTTCCAGCCTTTTCCACATGGGACAGAACTCCGTTTGCTCACTAATGATCTCCATCAAAGAGTTGTAGCATTGGCTCACGTCACTCCAAGCTCATGTTGCAGCACATTCAGTCACTTCACTCTCTCAGCTCCAAACAACTGCATTCAGTATTGCTCTGACGTGCACTAAATATGAGCAGAGGTTTCAGTCGTCTGTTGCTGCAGCACGGCGAACTAAAAGTCTGTAAATTGAGGCACAGTTTGGTGCAGCTGCAGTCGTTCAGCCTCTCGGTTCCTGTCAATGATGCAACTCTTTCATTTAGTGGATCTGTTTTCTCGCTTTACTTTCAGCTGGAGATGCTTGAATGCAGAGTTTAACACACTTTTTCCTTTATATTAGGAATCTGGGTTGTTTGCTAATTTTCTTTTATTTCTTTTACAATAACAAATTGCTTTATTTTTTAACTGCTTCCTTTTCTGTCTGTGTGGTTTAGGATCAATCTTCTCACACCCGTAATGTCTTCCAGAGAACACTATCTGTCTAAATATCAACGTATCCATTTTTATTCTGTCTGAATCTGTAGCCTGCATGCCAAGCTCGATTTACTCACCTGTTTATTTCATGGGTCATTATGTTGTTTTTGCTTCTTTTTTTTTGTTGCTATTTCTAATGAACAATTAAAATTTCAGAAATGGTAAAGTCTGTCTTTAAAGATCTGGTACGTCTTTTCAGTCTATTCCTTCTGTCTGCATGCGTTTCAAGATTTTCACATCTGAAATAAATTTAGTACAAAAAGTATGAAAATTTTATATATTTTTTTAAATTTGCAACATTGCTTCTTGGCCTATTTTTATACCGTTAGAAATTTTATTCCCCCTTAAATGGTTAGAAAATAAATTTTTGGGTGGGGCTTAGGGCTGGACAATATGGCAAAAACTTTTATCACAATATATTTCTTAATTTCGGTGGGTAACGATATAATTCTGATATCAATATAAACAACATAAAAGCCCCAGAAAGTGTACAAACTGTACAAATAAATTAATGTTCACCTTTTTTTTTAAATTTAGCCTTCAAATAAATTTGACATCACCATCAAATAAGCAATCTCTCAACTTTGTCAGTATTAATAGTTTTAACTTTAAACAACAACATCATCAAACGTCTGCGTTTGCTGCATGTGTTTCTCTTTTGATACAGCTGGGGTGTTGTTTCAGGGACACGTTGGCTCAAACTTTTATTGTGCTTCATCATCTGACTCTCAGCATATTCTATCGAGTGGAAACTCTTCAGATGGCACACTGACTGAAACTCGCAGTCTATCGGATCTTAGATAGCCGAACCACTTCCACACCGCCAAATTAGTCTTTCCTCTCATCAGTTATGTCATCTGCTTTGTTTTCGCTTGTGAATGCTTGTTCAGTCACATTCTGACGGTCATGGGCACTCATTTTAAAGTAAAAACTTAACGCGTGTTGGAGCTTAGCCTAGCCTGCTACCCATGACTGCTTTTGGACATGAGCTCTGTGTGTGGTGTATATCACCATGCACTTACATAGTTGTGTCATGGCTTTTTCCGTTCGGGTTGAAACTGAAGCGGCTGCTACAACCCGAACAGAAAAAGAAATGCGTCAGTGAAACACTGTAATCATAGTGTAATGTATATGGAAATATTGAAAATGTGCTTAAAACTCATATCACCATTATTGAATCAAAGTATATTGTAATATATATCGATATCGAATTATTGTCCAGCCCTAACTGAGCTCATGAAAAACTTGTCAAATCTTGTTTGCTAATGCTAAACAGCTTATTCTGTTATCAACTCTTGTTTTGTGTTGTTTATTGGATAGGAAGTCTCAATGAACAAGACAAAATTACAATCTAACAATTTATTCATTTGACAAACTGGACCTCAGCAGCATGTGGAAGAACCATACACAGCCACAACAGTCTGGCAACTCTTCCTGCTGCTGCCCACCGGCTTGGTTGCACACTGTTATGGGACGGCATCCAAATCTTCAACATGCATTTGCCTCAGGTCAGCTGATGTGGTTGTGTTGGTCACTCTCGAATGAACAGCACCCCCGAGCTGATCCCACAGGTTTTAAACGGTTGATCAGCAGGCAGGCCATTCCGTCCTCTCCACTTCCAAAATCTGGAGGTAGTCTCTGATAAACACTGCACTGTGGGGGCCAGCTGGGGGACCAGAAGCACAAAAACAAGAGGCAACAGCAGTTTAAGCTGTTTGGCATTGGCAGAAAAGATTTGGCATGTTTTCTATGGACTCAACTCTGCTGCTCACCCACAAATGTATTTTCCTAACAAATGTGGCCCCATTTGAGAGGAAATAAACAGCCTTTTTAACTGTAAAAGATTTATTGCCAAGAAGCATTTTTACAACAATCGACCAAACAGAAATTTCCATGCTTTTTCTGCTATTTTTATTATATTCAGCTTGTCTGTGTATTCTATATCAGTTTCCTTTTTAAAATTCTTAATCAAAAACAACAGCAACACGTTGAATCCATTTCTTTCTCTGTATGTCAATGTGGTTTGCAGTTTGACTGTAATATTTAAGCCACTGGTGATTTTAGGAAACTTATTTCTTGCCTGTTTCCATTTGGTCAGTGAAAAAAGTAATGAGTTTATGATTTATAGCGTGTTCAGTTACATGAAAGCTACTTATATTTGGTTTTTAAAATGTTCATGCTTAAAACAAAAAAGACATCTTATTTTTGATGAAGTAAAATTATGAGGAAAAAGGTTAAATATGTTGTAAAGTTGAAACGTCTTTGAGCAAACTAAAGTTGAATCAGGTGTCTCTCAACTCAAGGACACCAAACTTCCAAAGAATTAGAGGGCTGCAGCGCACTGATTGAAATTAACAGCCTTTAATAACATTTCAGCAGCTTCATTAGAGACAGATTAGGACTGATGAAATAAACATTACTCCTAAAAGAATTGATAATTTGCCCAATCAGACTGAATTAAATCGCGCTGCTCAGGTCCTTTTGTGTTCTTCAGCAAGTTAACTTTTTTTTTGCACAATAACAATATGAAGTTACAGGTTTGTAGAGGTTATACAGAAATAAACAGCTCGTTAATATATTTTAACAAATATATTTAAGTGTAAAGTAGGAAGGGAGAGAACAGGCAGGAAACTAAATAAAGACATAATGTACTGAAAACTAAAGGACACAGAAAAAATACAACAGGAAGTGCTCAAACAGAAACCCAAAACTTGAGCAAATACAAAACTGAAATGATTTCACGTCTGTAACAGTCAAGCTATTAGTTTGAAAGAGGAGCAGGTTAAATATTAGTGATTTCAGTAGTCCCTTGTTTATTGCGGGGGTTATGTTCCGGACCCGCGCACGCGCAATAAGTGAAAATCTGCAAAGTAGAGACGTTATATTTATTTTAGTACGTTATTCATATATTGAGGCTTTTGAAACCCTTCCCACTCTCTTGCAATGTTTTAACCTCTTAAACCTATTCTCATTTTATCAACATAGGTATATGTAGCTATTAAATTTTTACTCACCAGCTCTGCAGAACAACAGCAGTTTTCGGTTCTGGTCCGACTTGGTTCTGTTTCGGCTGACCTGCCCTGCCGGTTCTGGTTGGCTCTCTGGCTCGGGGTGGTGGAGGTGAGCTCCGGAGAGGGCGCCTGACCAACGACGGTGCATCCCCACTCAAAGGTCCTCGTGGGCTGACTAGAAACTCTTAGATTGGCCAATGGGTCTGGAGGTCCAGTTCTGGTTCAGTTCTGGTCCACTTCCCGGGTGGGTTCTGTGCGGCTTTCTGCATCCGCTGGGCACCAAAGTCACTGTATGAATAAGGTCCAAACATTTTCGGATAGATCAAAACTTTCCCTCTAGTATTTCAGCAGAGGGCAACGGGGCTTCTGGGCGTGACACTGTTGACTTCTGGGAAATGTAGTCATTATGAGTGGTGATACATTATAGGCTTATTGAGAGAAAACTACAAAATGGCCGTGCCTGTCCAAAGTATTTTATATTTTGTTAACTTTTTACTGTACAGTATCCCGTATTGTCCCAGTCACATGAATAATATTAACATTGACAATCGTGTTTTGTGTACAATTTTTTTTCTCGTGTACAATCTTACTTTGAAAAACCGCAAAAACACAAGTCCACGACGGTCAAAACACGAAGTAGCGAGGGACTACTGTAGTTCAGATCTTTTGAAGTGAGCTTCAGCAGAAAAGTTATGAAAGGCTATACCGGTACACTGATATTTATGTAGCAGCCAGCTGTAGTGTGTAGCCAGCTAGCTGTAACGAGGCGAACTTAGTTAAAAATAGTGTGAACTGATATAAAATGTTTGAGATTGTTCTTTTAGGACAACAACAACCTTTTATGGTCATCGTTCCAATAGCTGTTTGCAAAAACAGTTAATTCTGGTCAAACTGAGGCCGTTTAAAGAGTTAGCTAGAGCAGGTAAAATATTGTTTATAGGCTTTTGGTACTACCCCACTTCAAAAGGTCAGAATAATTCATTTTTTTACTTAAAATTGCAACAAAACATTTAGTTTTTTTTTTTTTCAATCCTTCAACATCGACCCTGTAATTGTACATGAAAAAAATATTTTTATCTGATGCCTAGTCAAACCTCCTGTGAATTATGAGGCTCTACCTGACAGCTTGCTAACAAGTACGTCAGAGAATAACACGTATGCCCGTAGCCAATTCTAAGCTTGGCTCAGCTGAGACGTTCTCTGGGCTGAGTGAAGAACAAGAACATTGCCAAAGAAAGAAACCAAAAATCAAGCTTCTCTTTCCCGTCTCGTGTAAATCCAACTGCATAGGTACCAGATTATTTATTTCAGGAACTAGAACGGTAATTGGAGCAGACTTGAGTGACTTCACACTGAGGGGAAATGGAGCTGAAAATCTGCCCTGATGGCCAAAATAAAGGATTTGGATGGAAGAGTGGAAAACAGAGAGAGGGAGAGGGAAGTGAAAGGAAGGTGGTAGAGGAAGAAAAACAGCAAGAGACACGTTAAATAAGGGGTGAAGAAGCAGAGGGAGAATGGTGAGAATAAGCTGACAGAAAAGAAAAGAACTGACAGAAACCATTTGAAAAGGGTGAAAATGAAAGAGTGGAAAGCTTTAGACTATAAACCCAAGTATTGAGGAATTAGTTAAGTTTATTGTTATATTGTTCTGTAATGGTCAATTTGTTCTTGGCACGCTGGATTTTAGGTTTTGCCAGTTAAAATATATGAGGTTGTGTGGGAAACTTGGAGTCCAGGAAGTTGCTTTTTTTGTTTTTACTGTTTCCAATTTTAATATTTTTTTACGATTTCGCATCATTGCATGCTGTTAGAGTGGAAACCTAAATAATCCACAAATGCAACGTATGAAACATCTTAATGGACTCTCACTCATCTCATGCTGTTGGTTGACTAATTATTCACTCGTATGGGTTTACCTTTAAATGTTTGTAGGGGTGAATTAAGGTGCGTCTCATTAGCCATTGATAAAGCAGTGATTCCTGTCTGTCTGCTCGTCTGCTTGTCTCACTGCAGTGCCTGTCAGCTGTCGTTCTCCAGTTAATGATGCTTCTCTGTCAGCTTGTCTATCTCTCGTATCTTTCCTGTTCTTTGAAGACTGATCAAGCTGGCTAACCTATGCTCAAATCCTCACCTTTTTCCCCTCCTTCTCTCCGTCTTTCTTTTATCTTTTTTACGACGCACCACCTTCTGCTGCCTCGCCCAGCCTTGCCTCAAGGTTAGTGCTGCACGCCTATCTTTCTTCCTCAGCTGTTTTCTTCCCGTTTCTCATCACTCCCCTCCGTTGTCATACCGCCTGTCCTTGCACTCTCATCTCCTTCACTCTGTCATAAACTCTGAGTCTAATTCTCATCATGTCTGTCTGCGTTTGGAAGAGACACTGACTTTCACTTCACTTTCTCTGTCACATCGCCGCCTTTTTGAAGAGGAAACACTGTTCATTTCTTCCACTCTCTTATTATAAGACACCCCGCTGGTCTCTCTTCACCATGTTTGTATTTGAACTTTGATTTCAGCTGTTGTTTCATAAAATTAAATGGAATTTTACTTCAGAAAACAAACCAACTTGTCAAATTAGATTATTAACTTGAACAGATGGGAACTTTTACATCTCTTGGGCCTTCCAGAGAACCTCCTCCAGTTTTTTTAATGTTCTAATTTTGTGATTTTTAAATGGTAAACATCACAGATGAACATTTCCTCCCCGCTGTGAAACATAACATTAAAAACCGACACATCCAAGGAGCAAACCCTGTTAAGTTGTGGATGTTGTCTTTAAAAAATTCTTGACTGAGTGAACAATATTTAGGTGACTTATAGGTTAAAAATGTGATTCTGCCTCTAATAGTTGAGTCAAATGTACAACATAACATCTAAGCTGGTTTAAAACATAAAGATACCTGTTTGAAAGCAAAAAAATGCCTCAAATCTGTCATTTTAAAACGGTCTGATGGCAGGTTTTATATATTTTTAAACGTAACCTTTTAGATTTCTGTTTGAGAAAATAATTTTACGTCTTTTTTTGTAATCAGATGTAAAGAATAATACAATGAAGTAATAAAGTATCACATTTTTTAAATACCTGTCACAAAATTAGTTAAAATGTTTGACTTGGTTAAACTGAAATAAAGAATTAAACATTTCCACTGAACTAGACCTCTCAACACAGATTTGAATTGCAGGATTTACCACGGGTCCTTTTTAGATGTAAACTAAAGCAAATCAGAGCTTTATTATAGTTTTATTTTTCATATCTTTTTTTTTCCTTTCACTTTTGTTTTTTGGGGTCTACTTCTTGCATGTTGCGATGGATTTCATTTTGTGCCACAGCTTTCAGTCAGTCTAAACTGTTACTTTAGATTTTTTTTTGGGGGGGGGGGGTTGTTAAATTAGTCATTCTTAACATCTAAATTCAAGTTCAAGTAAACTTTATTGTCGTTTCCACCATGTGGTACATGAGATGGAATGAAATTATGTACACATGGTCCCAGTTACACCCAAAAATATGTAGTGGACTAGGCCTACGTCGAAACTAAGTCTAAGGTCAAAACTCTTGACCTTTAGAACCTTGTGGGACAGGAACTGTCATTTCATGTATTTGAATACATAAATACAGGTTCACCCATCCTGAGACTTTCTTTCTTGAAGATTCAAGTGAAAAGAACACTCTCTTTTTATTATCATTACTATTCTACAAATGTTGATAATCAAAGTGTCTTAGTTCAAACCATTTTAGATGTTGCAGTGAACTAATCAATTTTATTAACTGAGTAATGATTTTTATTCTCATGCAGTTAGAACTCATGTTAAAAGCTGTTACAGAGTAATTATGCATTTTTCTGATTTCTGCTTTTGAATGAGCAAGTGTGTGCGTTTACAAGGTTACAGTCAAACGAAAAACAAGTTGTTATGTTAAAACTGTCATGTTTTAGAATCCTCTCAGACGTAAGTAGAGATGTTTTGCACCTGTTTCCTGAAACACGCCAAAACAAAACCCTCTCGGTCTGTGAGAACATTTCTGATCTGTCTCATAACAATTCTCGCTGTCTCTAACCTCTTACGTCACAAAACCCACCCCGTCTGGTCGTTTCTGACCAATGAACAAATCCCAAAAAGTGAACCGGGAAAGAGTCTTTAAAATGTCAGTACTTCCTGGTCTACACAGAGTTGGAGAGTTGTCAGACTTCTAGAGTTTTTGGAGAGTTCGAGAGTGCTGGAGAGTTTTCTGCTGGTTCTGTTCGAGTTCTGTCGGAGACGGGATGATCTTGACATGACAAAAAGCTCTTCCGAGTTCCATGGGATTATAACTTTCACTAGCCACTACTTCTGACGAGCTACAGCCACCATCAGGAGACGCTGGACAGGTAGCGTTAACGGAATTCCATATCTGCTGATGAATCTTCAGAAAGGTAATGGATCAAGTTTCCTACCAAGCGTACCGAAGGAGAGCTGGGCTTCTGATGGAGAGTGTCGGTTCTGGTGAACATTCCTCCCCTCCCATTCAATCTTACTCCCTTTAACTTCTTTCATCTTTAACTTTCTATCAAGTAGAAATTCTCCCAGATATTTAGAAATGTCTGTGTAAAGTGCTTATTCACATCCGTGTGGGTAGAAGATCATAGTTGTACAGTTTATAAATGTCTGTGGTGCAGCAACGGAAAAATCATGGCCGTATGATTTTTCCTGATTGATTGCTTATATTGTTATTTTCATAATTTGCCAAATTAATGTAAATGTTTGATGTTAAATTTGATTCTGTAAATAAATGACCGCATTCATTTTGATGGGTCAAATATAAATGACGTCTCACTTTGCATTTCCTTAAATTCAATGCACGTTTTATTCAGTCCAGAAAAATGAGGAACCCGCGTTAAATGATGAATATATCCCAGCATCTGTTCATCTACAAATAGCAAAATATAAAGTGTAGAAAAAAACGGTAAATAAGGATCTAAGATATACGCTAAAACAATCGCCAAACGGTATGCTGAAAGATCTAAGATACCGTATACATGCTAAACACTAATAATGTAAAACAGTACGATGTAACAACAGCAGCCTGAACATGAGTCTGTGGTGAACAGATAGGTATGAATGAATATAGCAGCAAAAGATAATCAGCAGCATGAGATCAGCAGCATGGATAATCAGCAGCACAGATAAGTCACATATCACCTAAGTGGCATTACAGTGATTATCCTAGTTAGGGATTTATGAGTCTTAGCAGCATCAGGGTAGAAGCTGTTCCTCAGTCTAGTGGTTCTACACTTTATGCTCCTTAACCTCCTGCCTGAGGGGAGCGGGGCAAAAAGTGTGTATGCTGGGTGAGTGGGGTCCTTCATGATGCAGGTGGCTCTCTTCCTGCAGCTCGAGGTGTAGATGTCTGTGATGGTGGGGAGACTGACTCCAACAGTCTTCTGTGCAGCCTTCACCACTCTCTGCAAAGCTTTTCTTTCTGCAGCTGTGCAGCCTCCATGCCACACATTGATGCTGTAGCACATGATGCTCTCCACTGCACACCTGTAGAAGGAGGTGAGGACTGAGCTTCCCAATCCAGCTCGCCTCAGCCGCCTGAGGAAGTAGAGTCTCTGATGTGCTTTCATGATCAGACTAGTGGTGTTGTTGCCCCAGCTGAGATTGTCATTCAGGTGCACACCTAAGTACTTGTAGCTGGAGACCACTTCCCCCGCTGATCCTCCTATGTCTGGGGGTGGGTGGAGGTAGGTGTGTTTGTTTCGTCTGAAATCCATGACCATCTCCTTTGTCTTCTTCACATTGATGTGAAGGTTATTCTCCTTGCACCAGCTCTCCAGGTGTTCCACCTCCTCCTGCCTGTAGCTGGACTCATTGTTGTTTGTGATGCATCCCACCACCGCTGTATCATCTGCAAACTTTACAATATGACAGCCTGGATGGGTAGGTGCACAATCATACGTGAGCAGCGTGAACAGGAGAGGGCTCAGCTCACATCCCTGAGGGGAGCTAGTGCTGAGGGTTATGGTAGAGGAGGAGAAGTTGTGAATCCTCACACACTGTGGTCTGTTTGTTAAGAAGTCCAGGACCCAGTTGCAAATGGAGGGGCTTAGTCCGAGTGTGAGTAGTTTGTCCATCAGGGTTTGGGGGATCATGGTGTTGAAAGCAGACTTGAAGTCCACAAAGAGCATACAGATGTAGGAGTCCTTCTGCTCCAGGTGGGTGAGCACAGTGTGGACCACAGAGGAGATGGTGTCTTCTGTTGATTGATGTTTGCAGTATGCGTACTGGTGAAGGTCCTCATTGATGTCTTGTATGATGATTATTAGTAGTTTATGCATTTAGTGGGCTTTAGTTTGGATTTTGGTCTTTTTTTTTTGTCCCACTTTTAGCGTAAAATGTATTTTGATAAACGTACTTTTACGTTTTAATTGGTCTTGTGAGTTTAATAATCAACATTTGTGTCTGGTTGGACACAACTGGTGAGAACAGAGGTGGGAACAAAATAATATGTCGGCCGAAAATACAGTTTTGCAAAGATGTGAACACAAAATAAGCTGCGTTTCAAAACCTGGCCACTCAAAACGTGGGCTCACTGGTAACTTGGTTCAAAGAGACTACAGCTGGAAGTTCATGTTTTTATTTATTTATTGCACTTTTGAAGGATTTTTTTCACTGAATATATTCCCAACAGTCACTTAACATAAACTAAAGTTGGTTATGATCAAAAATTATTGAAACGGGAAGCTATGAAAGTACTTAAGGAAGGCATTGCACATCATTTGAAAATGATTTCTAAAAAGTATTCGACTAAATTGGCCCCTTGATGCCACTTTATCATGAGATTTCAACATTCTGAAAATGCTCTTATCTAAATGAAAAAATCAAAAGTATATGAAAACGTTCTGATCTAAACATCATCATCTACCACATAATAACCACGTCTTTCTTCTGTTTCTGCTTGAATCTGGTGGTCTGAGCGTTTTTTGCACTCATCTTCTTAAATCTCAGCGGGACCACGTCCTCCTTTGTTGTTTCTTCTTTAACTTCTAAAGCCATAGTTCCCATGGCGTCATGTCGGCTTTTTATTGCCAGGGTTCTGGTGTTTTGTGATTCAACTACATAAAGGGAGAAGAAACAACAAAAAAGTTTCATTTCAATGTCTGGCAGATGACAGAAGACTTCTTTTTCCTCTTCTGCTTTTTTCTTTCTTCCTGTTCTTTTGATCCTGAGCTAAGAAACTCC